CTCTTTCTCGGTTGGGCAGCTGGCCAGGGTGGTGCAGAATCCATCAGAGGAGCAGGTGGATGCAGCTGAGCGTGTGGTGAAGTATCTGAACTCTCACCAAAGCATTGGAGTTCAATACTCCGCATCTGCACAGGTGAAGCAAAAAGGGGTTGAGGTGCTGAAAGAGAAGGGGGAGAGGCTTGGAGAAGGCAAGCTCTTTCTCACTTGCTTTACCGATGCTACGTGGACCTCTGAGAAGGAGGATTCCTCATCTGTGGGAGGAAATCTACGTAGTTGGAGGAGGACCTATAAGTTGGAGGTCAAAGAAGCAGACGGAGACAGCACTCTCTTCTGTGGAATCAGAGTACATGGCGATGTTTCATGGGGTGAAGGAGGTCATTTGGCTAAGGAGGCTGTTAGGGAGATTGTCCAGGAGCAAAAGGTTGCTACGCCGCTGTTTTGTGATAGCAAGGGAGCTCTTGGGATTGTTGGTGTAAGGGCTTAATAAATTCAAGCTATTAAGACTTTATCACACTTAAAAACCTCTCCTCGGGGTCACCTCCAAGGGTCCTTGGGTGCCTGGTACAAGACCAGCCCCTATCCTCGGGTCCGAGTTTGTAGAGAGAGGGATCAAGAGGGACTTCGTCAAAACAGCAAGAGTACCTTGAACGTCGCGCAGCGTATCGTGCAGACCGTCGACCGGATTAAGCTGAGAATTTCCTATATCGAAGCTCACTCTAAGAGCTTTAAAATAAGCCAAGTTGCCTCGCGAAAAGTTTTGCTATTACGAAGTTATGGCTCGGACAGCGTTAGCCTAGCGTTGGAGTGCTAGCGTACTAGCGTTGACTCGGGTAGCATTCCGCCGTTGCACTGCGTAGAAAGGAAATTCCAGCGAGGAAGGAATTTGCTTGAATCAATTTCACTATATTCAGGTACAAACAGAGAAGGAATAAATAGCTCTAGCTAGCAAGGACCTTGGGAATCAACCTGGGAACAACCAAGGATGATCCCAAATAATTCCAAGCAACAGAACCAACCTGGCTGGACAAAATAGCAGGTGGTAGGTTGGTGAACAACCTCTGATTCTGTTTTTCCAACCTGGGAAAACAACAACCAGGTTCAGGTCCTAAAAACAGAACCTGTTTTGTCTTTGCCCAACCAGCCAAATGCTGGTTCCGCTGGTTTCCCCTGGCCCTGTAGCATGCAGATACAGACAAACAACATCCAACCTTCACCTAAATTGTACCCCTATAGTGCCTGCCCTGCTACACTATAGTGAACCAAACAAAACAGTACAATTTCGAGTTGGATAGAACTGAATCTGCGCAATCAAGTAAGCCGAACCGCAAAGCTTCCATCTTGGGTTCCTTTGCGAGCTCGTCCTTTCTGCTTGTACTGTTCATAGTGCGTACATTGTTATGCCGAAGCGCACATTGTACGAGTACCTGCAAATGCTTCAAGCAAAATTGCGAAAGCAAACAAACACACGAACATACCATTCACGCGCAAATGCATTCGCACACACATACTCGTACAAACAGACGGCAGGATGTCGTGCAATGTGAATTTGCACCCAACAAAGATGGCCAGGAACGCTGTGCTTCATGGGCTGAACAATCACATGCGTATCAAGTGGCACTGGTTGCGTAAGGAGGTGAAGAGGGGGACGGTGAATCCGATCTACATCAAGACTCACCAGCAGCCAGCAGACTTCCTCACCAAGAGGCTTGCGGATGAGCCTCATTGGCGTTGTGTGCGGATGAGTGGAATGAGCATGAACTAGTATGGAATGATGGGGATGCAGCCGGCAGGCTGAGGGGGAGTGTGTTGGGTGCAAATTCACATTGCACGACATCCTGCCATCTGTTTGTGTGAGTATGCGTGTGCGAATGCATTCGGTTGTGAATGGAATGTTGGTGTGTTTGTTTGCTTTCGCAATTTTCGCTTGAAGCATTTGCAGGTACTCGCGCATTATGCGATTTGGCACAACATTGTACGCGCTATGAACAGTACAAGCAGAAAAGTTGAGCTCGCAAAGGAACCCAAGATGGAAGCTTTGCGGTTCGGTTGAATTGATTGTGCAGATTCAGTTCTATCCAACTCGAAATTAACTGTTTTGTTTGGTTGACTATAGTGTAGCAGGGCAGGCACTATAGGGGTACAATTTAGGTAAAGGTTGGATGTTGTTTGTCTGTATCTGCATGCTACAGGGCCAGGGGAAACCAGTGGAACCAGCATTTGGCTGGTTGGGCAAAGACAAATCAGGTTCTGTTGTTTAGGACCCGAACCTGGTTGTTGTTTTCCCAGGTTGGAAAAACAGAACCAGAGGTTGTTTACCAACCTACCACCTGCTGTTTTGTCCAGCCAGGTTGGTTCTGTTGCTTGGAATTATTTGGGATCATCCTTGGTTGTTCCCAGGTTGATTCCCAAGGTCCTTGCTTGCTAAAACTATATATTCCTTCTCTGTTTGTACCTGAATATAGTCAATTTTGATTCAAGCGAATTCCTCCCTTCCTGGAATTTCGTTTCTACGCGGTGCGACGGTGGAATGCTACCCGAGTCAACGCTAGTACGCTAGCACTCCAACGCTAGGCAAACGCTGTCCGAGCCATAACTTCGTAATGGCAGAACTTTTCGCGAGGCAACTTGGCTTATTTTAAAGCTCTTGGAGTGAGCTTCGATATAGGAAATTCTCAGCTTTATCCGGTCAACGGTCTGTACGATACGCTGCGTGACGTTCAAGGTACTCCTGTTATTTTGACTAAGTCATTCTTGATCCCTCTCTCTACAATCTAGGACCCGAAGATAGGGGCTGGTCTTGTACCAGGCACCCAATGACCCTTCGAGGTGACCCCGAGGAGAGATTTTAAGTTTGATAAAGTCTTAATAGCTTGAGTTTACTAGGCCCTTACACCAACAGTAGTGGGGCGAAGAGGATGAGGGCGGAGGTTAGAGAGCAAAGTGGCATGGAGAAGAGCATAGCTCCAAAGAGAGTGAGAAGGCAGCGAATAATTTCCATGAGAGTGCGATTGTGTCTCTCAGCAGCCCCATTCTGCTCTAAGGAGTGAGGAAGAGTGGAGGTCTTGCGAATGCCAAGAGATTCACAGTAAGAGGAGAGGGAGTGATCAAAGAATTCGCCACCACCATCGGAATGGGAAGCGGGCGACAGGACGCTTAAAACGTAGACGAGCCTGCTCAACCCAGCGAATGATGAGGGAGGGAGCGTCAGATTTGGCACGGAGGGGATAGACAGTTGCAAAGCATGAGTGGTCATCAACCAAAAGCAGAAAATATCGATGACTCTGATGAGAGGCAGTAGGTGAGGGACCCCTGAGGTCCATGTGAACAAGGTCAGGGGGTTGGGGAGAGGCAGAGGGAGAAGAGGGATGAAGTGACTGGGAGAGTTTGGCCTGGACACATGGGATGCATGGAGGAGCAAGAGAGGGGGGAAGGGAGGGGAGGCCATGAAGAAGCTTAGAAGAGACCATATTGCGAAGAAGGGGAAAGTTGGGGTGGCCAAGTCGATGATGAAGGAGAAGGGTAGGTTGAGTAAGAGAGCGACAGTCGCAAGAGGGAACGGCAGGGGCAGAAGAGGAAGAGGCATGATGGGCAGAATGGGGAAGAGAGACACGAAGAGTGTAAAGGCGAGTGATTGGAGAAAGAGTGAAGCGTGCAAGATGGCGGTTGCGGTGATAGAGATTACAGTAGATGTCACATTCAGGAAAGATGGCTCGCACACAAAGACGTTGAAGAGCAGAGAGAGAAAGAAGGTTGTGGCGGCAGGAAGGAATATAGAGGCCAGTCACAGCACCAAAAGGGGCAGGTAGGACAGGGAAGAGAAGAGGTAGCGGTGCAAGGCATGGTCATGGTATCCCCTGCCCCTTGAATGGAGAGGGGACGGGGAAAAGAGCGATGTACACCAGCATCACGAAAGACAGAGTCAGTAGCACCACTGTCAAGAACAAACTCAAGAGTGCGAGGGAGGGAAAGAGCAGCAGCTGTGGGACCAAGACACCGAGAATCATTGCCATTAACAGAAGGAGCGAACATCATGGCAAAACAAGGGTCCATAAGGGGAGAAGCCCCCAGAATGCTATCCTGACTAGGCATAGTCACACTGAGAGCAGATGCCTGAGCACACGTACCAGAGTCGGTGGCCGCAAGGACCGCCTGGGCAGAGGACTGGCGACGCCGACGAGAGAGTTGGAGCCAGTTGGGAGGGCGACCAGTGTTGCCAGCGAGGAACCAGTCATCGGTGAGCTTCTGGAAGCAGGAGGAGGTGGGATGATTGGTACGACCGCAGGGCTGACCCTTGCGGGGCCCCTGGCGCATGATGTAGGTGCAGGGAGGAAAGGTGTTGCGAGGGCGAGAGGAAGCAGCGGCAGCAGTGGTGGTGGAGAGAGGAGGAGGGACAGAAGAGGATGTGACTGAAAGCGCTCGTTGAGATAGCTGAGAAGTTCCTTGGCATAGCAGATGTGCAAGCACTGAGGGAGAAGAGTTGGAGGGAGGCAGGCAAGGATGACCTGACAGGCACGTGCATTGGCAACTTGCCAGTCAGCGAGAAGATCAGAGTGAGATGGAGCAGAGGAAAGGGGCGTAGACGCAGAGCGGAGAGAAGGGGCAGCGAGGTGCTCAGTGAGGCGCTTGCGGGTGCTCTCGAGGGACTCAGCAAGAATACGAGCTAAGTCGCGGGCAGCAGCATTGTCAGGAGCAGCTGTGGCGGTGGCTTGCGCCGTAGTCACAAGCCGCTCAGTTTCAGCAATGGCAGCACGGAGGCCATCAGCAAAGGGTCAGAGGAGGAAGAGGTGGGTGCAGAGGGAGAGGTAGAAATGGCACCAGAACCACTCTGCTGAGTGACAAACCAGAGGTTAAAGCCACTCACGAGGGTGCCATACAGCGTGCGCTTAAGACAGTTCAGCCAACTGGGGAAGTTGACTGCACTGCCATTGGGCGCAAGCTGAAGGACCAGCAGAGGGAGGGAGGGGAGGGCGAGAGAGGTCGCCATGAGGAGGAGGAAACAGCTACAGAGCAGATGTGGGGAGAGGTATAAGAGGCGGAGGAATAAGGGCGGGGTAGTCTGCTGCTAAGCCGCTGAGGGGAGAAACAAGAGGAGTGAAAGTGGCGGAGTAGTCTGCTGGTGAGCTGAAGCGGGGAGAAACCAGAGGAGGAGGGAAAATGGCGGAGTAGTCTGCTGCTGCGCCGATGAGGGAAGAAACCAGAGGAGGAGGGAAATTGGAGGAGTAGTCTGCTACTGCGCCGATGACGGGAGAAACCAGAGGAGGAGGGAAAATGGCGGAGTAGTCTGCTGCTGCGTCGATGAGGGGAGAAACCAGAGGAGGAGGGATAGCGGCGGAGAAGTCTGCTGCTGTGCCGCTGAAGGGAGAAACAAGAGGAGGAGGGAGAATTGTGAAGAGTGTGCAGTTGAGCAGTTGAGAGGAGCATGTTGAGGAGGAGGGAAGGTGTGGAGGAACAACAGCTACACAGCACAATCAGCTACCAGCTGCAGCAGATAAAGAGAGAAAAGAGGTGGAGGAGGGGTGAGATAGTGGAGAGGGAACTAGTGGGAGAGAGGAGAGGAGGAGGGTGAAGGGGCGGATTGTGGGAAGGGCAGGGCGCGCCACAAGGAGCTGCGAGCCGCAGCAGATGGGGAGAGAAAATAGGAGGAGGAAAAGGTGAGGTAGTGGGGGAAGCACAAAGGAGAGACGGAAGGAGGAGGAGGGTGAGGGAAGGGGCGGATTAAGGAAGGGCAGAGCGCGCCGCAAGGAAGGGCAGGCGTGCACGCTGCTGGACGGTGCTTAGCGTGCGCGGCGGCGGGAGCGCAATGCGCGCGCGACGAGACAGAGTGGGGGGGGGGGGGGGGCGGCTGAGCGCGCTACGGGCGGAAATCGGCGGGCTACCATCCGAAACGCGAGGAGGAGGAAGCGGGATGAAGAGAGAAGGTGCGGGCGGATAATCTGAACGGTAGGGAGACGCGCTTCGGACTAGATTAGGGCACTCGAGCGAGTATAACGAAGAGAACCGCATGGATGCTAAGAGTGAGAAGAAAGAAACGAGAGGAAAGAAAAAAAAAATGTATAGCTAGGTAGCGCGGAAACGGAAGGGCCGGAGATTATCTAAGCAATACGGATAAATATGAAACGCCTAGGACTACGCTCTGCATACCATGTTAAGATGAGAGGAGCCATGGATGGCGAGATAGTTAGGTAGGGTCAAAAAGTTGCACTAGGAATAAAATGTCGAGATACAAAAGAGAGAGGGTTGGAAACCCTAATTGAACCTAGGGTATGTTCGGTTTGTACTAAGAACTATAAAATGAACCTAAAATAAACTTGAATGCGCAACTCTCTCTAAGCTCGGAGAAATAATATAAGAACACCAAAATAAATACCAGAGCCAGCTCAAGCCTACTCCAACACCCAGTCGAGCCTCTGGCGGCCAGTCTACAGTCTCCCCCAGGCGCCTCGCGAGTGGCACGACAGACTGAGGATGACACTTGCGGCTCTTGGGTTTGCTCCTTCGACTGCTGGCCCGTCGATGTTTGTGCGCACTGACACTTCGCTGCCGCCGTTCTACATCCTCGTGTACGTCGACGACTTGGTATTTGCCACTGCTCACACTGAGAAACTCGCCCACGTGAAGTCCGAGCTGCAGAAGAGACACACGTGCACAGACCTAGGAGAGCTGCGCAGCTATCTTGGCTTGCAGATCACCCAGGACAGAGCACGGTGCACCATTACCCTGACTCAGTCACACATGGTGCAGCAGGTCCTTCAGCGCTTCCGCTTCACATACTCCTCGCCACAGTCCAATCCTCTGCCTACCGGTCACTCTCTCTCAGCTCTGACTTAAGATAAGTCCCTAAGCCCGTATCTAGAGCTTTTGGGCTGCCTCATGCACCTGATAGCCTGCTCTTGACCTGACCTTGCTTACCCTCTCAGCATCCTAACACGCTACGTTGCGCCCGAGAGACAACGACCAGAGCACTAGGAGGCCGCAAAGAGGGTGTTACGCTACTTGTGCAGTACGTTGGGCATGAGGCTCGTGCTTGGAGGATGGAGTCTAGTTGTTCTCACTAGCCACGCAGACGCGTCTCGGGTTGACAACTTGGCTACGAAGCGGTCGTCATAGGGTTACAATTTCAGCCTTGGCTCCGGTTCTGTTTCTTGGCGGTCTACCCGCTCGTCTTCCGTTCTCAGTACCAATTGTAAGGCTGAGATCTACGCAGGGGCCATAGCTGCACTGGAGTTAGACTGGCTCACCTACCTGCTGACCGAATAGGGAGGGCGGCCTATTTCTCCTCCAGTTCTGTACGTAGACAACAAGGCCATGATTGCCTTGTGTCAGGAGCACAAACTGGAGCACAGGACGAAGCACATCGCTCTGCGTTACTTCGTTCCTCAAGATTTGCAGCGGCATGGTCAGCTTCGTCTTGCTTACGTGGCCACTCAGGCCAAAACCACTCATATATTCACCAAGGCACTCCAGCCTCGTGGTCATTAGCGTTTCTGTATTGTTTTAGGCCTTGTGTCTACTTTTCCTCACTTGCTCACTTCTTGACTTTGCTTGTACTGTGATCTATATGCTTATACTTGTATGCTTACCATTGCTAGGTTTTGATCACTGTACTGCTTGTTCTGCTATATATAACTCTGCATGTGAACTAGCCTTGTGGCCATTTGCTTGTGCTCAGAATGTATGGTGACTCCGTGATCCACCCTGAGCTTGCTTTGCTTTTCTTGACTTGTCTTGTGACCTCTTGTTCTCCCCCACTTTGCCTATGGGTGTGTGTGCAACTCATATGCTACATATTGTGTAGGCTGTAGTGGGTTAGCCTGTAAGGGGTACAACCCAATTAGGGTTTACTAGTTGTACTTCTGCTTGCTGCTAGTTTATCCATGCTCGTTCATTCTACTGATAAGTTGAGTTCCTAAAGAGAGGGTATTTGTGAGCTTATGGGGTTTTCTTGGTTGGGGACTCTCTCGGGACCTTCCTTCTCGTCCTCCTCTTTCCTCCACCTGGTTTCTTGCTACTCTAATTTTTTTGTGTGCTTCTTCTTAAACAATGTCAGAATGTTATGTTTGTCTAGCCCTCAGTGGGGTACTCAATAGTGAGTACAGCCCAATTTAGGGTTTGCTATATGTACTCAACTGCTTGCTAGTGAAACTCACTTCCACTCTTTCCTCATTTCTTCACATGGTATAGAGCTGGTTCCCTCCTGGGACTGTTCCTTCTTAGGACCCACCACTTCGCTAAACTTTTTTTTTCTGCCCTGCCCTTAGCGCGTTTCGCGCTCTGCCCTGCTGCCCGTTGCGGCCCTTCGTGGCCCCTTCGTGACCCCTTCGTGGCCCCTTCGCGACCCCGTCGCGGCCCCGTCACGGCCTCGCCCCGGCCCTGCCCCGTCGCCCGGCCCTGCCCCGTCGCCCTGTCGCCCCACCCCCCCCCCCCCCCCCCCCCGTCGCGGCCCCCCCTTCGCGGCCCCGTCGCGGCCCTACGTCGCGGCCCCCCGTCGCGGCCCTGCCCCGTCGCCCGCCGCGGCCCTGTCGAGGCCCTGCCCCGGCCCTGCCCCGACCCTGCCCCGACCCCGCCCCGGCCATGCTCCGTCGCCTGTCGCGGCACACCGGGGACCCGTGCACCGCCCCCCCCTCTTTTCCCGTCGCCTGTCGAGGCGACCTGAGGGGGCCGCGACCTTGGGGGGGGGGGGGGGGGGGGGGGGGGCGAGCGTCGCCCCTTCTACCGCCTGTTTTGGCGCCCTGGGAGGCCGCGCGTTGCCCCCCCCGCCCCCGTAACCTCCCTACCCGCCATCCCGCCCTGCCCTGTGTTAAGGTTTGGGGGTGGCGAGTAGGGGGTGGCGGGTGTGTGGTCTCCCTTGCTCCTCCTCCTCCTCTGTCTCCCACTGTTGCAGCTGCCGCTGAGGGGGGTGGGTGTGTGGGAGTCGACGGAGTGGTGCTAGGGGGTGGGGTGTGAGTGAACCTAGGGTGCAGCAGGGGGTGTGTGAAAGGGGGGTGGGATAGTTTGTGGAGGTTGAAGGGGGGTGGCCGCCGTGAAGCCCGCAGCTCCAGTCGCTCGTGAGACCGTTGCGCCAGTCGCCCGTGAGCCCGTTGCGCCAGTCGCCCGTGAGCCAGTTGCTCCAGTCGCCCGTGAGTCCGTTGCTCCTGCCGCTCAGAGTTAGTCGCGGAGCCAGTTACTCCAGTAGCCCGTGTGCCAGTTGCTCCAGTTGCCAGTGTGCTAGTTGCTCTAGTTGCCCGTGTGCCAGTTGCTCCAGTTGCGCCGTGTGCCAGCAGCTACAGCTGCCGCCCACTACCTCCTCTCCTCTCATAGTCCCTCCTCCTCCACACTTGCCCTCGGTGATAGCCTCTAGCTTTGCTTACATTTGTGAACTTTAAACTCTTGCTTCTTATACTTGTGCTCAGATTGTGTGGTGACATTGTGATCCACCCTGAGCTTGTGTTTTGCTTGCTAGTTGTGCTGATTGCACCCCACTTTGGCTATGGGGGTATGTCAGAATGTTATGTTTGTCTAGCCTGCAGTGGGGTACTCAATAGTGAGTACAACCCAATTTAGGGTTTGCTATATGTACTCAACTGCTTGCTAGTGAAACTCACTTCCACTCTTTCCTCATTTCTTCACAAACCATTGTGATTGAGTTAGGTTTCTATGGCAGCTTACCCCCTAATGCGTCGAAATTCAAAACTCGAGAAATACTTCACCTTTTCGTTCGAATCAATTTAAAAATTGTTGCTACGGTCTAGGGATACAACATATATAAATCTGGTTAAGTTTTAACGGTTCAAGTTTTGTCGACAGCGTACTCCAAGATCGCAGCGCCACCGACGAACTTACTGAAAAATGATACGCCCTATAAATGGGATACTGCTCAACAGCAAGCCATGGAGCAGCTACAGACAGCACTAACTGCTGCCCCAGTACTCATCGTACTGGATCCAGACAGGGAATACGTGGTGGAAGCAGACGCTAGTGACCAGGTAGTCAGAGCAGCACTATTGCAGGATCACAGATGCGGTTTGCAACCCATTGCCTACCTCGGTAAGAAGCTACACGGAGCTGAACTAAACTATCCCATCTATGACAAGGAAGCCTAAGCAATGGTCACAGCCTTCACGGCGTGGAGATGTTATCTAGAGGGAGCCAAGACTACAGTCTACACAGACCACTGAAGTCACAGCCTACACTCTTATGACGACAGGTGCGGTGGGTGGAATTCCTGAAAACTCACTTCCACTACAACATCGTCTACAATCCCAGTTACACAACAAAGCATACACATTGAGCCGCCCCGGCCATGTATCAGGCATCCATCTTGACATGATGAACCCTCTACTCATGGTTCTATTCCAACATGGGTACTCTATGGACGCAGAGATCGCTACAGCACGTTATAAAAAAAAAAAAAAAAAAAAATTTACAGTGGTAGAAAGACTTAGCGGTAAGGAAAGGTTCAGGAAAGTTTTGGGTACCGAACTATGCCCCACTCCGAAGAATCTTACTAGAGGAGTTTCACAAAGTAGAGTACGCGGAACATTTTGGGAGCAACAAAACGCTAGCGGAAATTGTTAGAATAAGCTAAGAGTTAGTAGGTTTAGGAGCCATGGTTTAGGAGCCTTGGTAGTTGAGTTCGAGGGTGAGGAGAGTGTCGAAAGAGTTGTAAAGGAGAATAGAGGTTTCACTACAGACTCAAGGGTACAAATATGAAAGAAGTGAAGCAAGGTGCACCACCTAACAAGCAAGATAACTACACTAAGTCTACATTGCAGGCAGTTATAAAGTGATGTATACAATAACATTCTAACACACCCCCTAACTGCCTGCAGTGAAGAACCAAGTGCAGAAACACCCCCGGAAGGGGTACACCAAGCAGAGTCCAGCAGACGGAGAGGGAAGTGAGGAGGAGGAGGGACTATGAGAGGAGAGGAGGTGGTGGGCGGCAGCTGAAGCTGCTGGCACACTGCACAACTGGAGCAACTGGCACACTGGCAACTGGAGCAACTGGCACACTGGCAACTGGA